ATCAGCAGATACCATGAAGTCCGTGATGCTAACTTATCAACAGAAGTTTTTGACACATAAATAATATGCAAGGGTGGGATTTCCAATTTTGACATTTCATCGTCTCCAGAAGACTTTAAGTAGCATGACGTAGGATCAATATTTATCCTTCCATCTCCTGATGCAGAGGAGGTTTGAACAGTATTCATCATCGTCGGTAACTCATTTGTCACATCAGTGACATCCAGTTTATTATCAACGTCTAAATGATTCCGTTCTGCATTAGCATCCGTTTCAGCGGCACAAGACATATGCTCAACAATAGCATCGTCATCACACCGCACTTTAGTCTGGCTGTTACCATCAAACACTTTCTTCTCATCATCACTCGACTGACAGTCAACCGTAATAGGAACAGTTACAGCTGCACAACCTTGTGCATCTTCAATCAACTTAACCTTCGTGACGAGGACCGATGGCGTCGAAACACTAGGAGGCTCATTCGATGAAGTTGATAAACTAGTCCCTATAAGTGAACTGCTGACACTTTCTATATCCTTATTATCACTGTCACTACTAAGGTTCTGATGGCTACTATTTCCATGGCTAGTCGTAGCATCCGAAAGAGAATGAGGTTCAGGCTTCTTAGTAATAGTAGCATCATGTCTCCCAGGCTTCTTAGCCGTTACTGTACCACCATCACTTATCCTAGAATCTACTCTAGGTCCAGTTATATAATTTACCCTAAATGAAGGGTTCCGAAAATAAGCTTTATTCTGTTCAGACAATCCTGCCTGGGTCTTATTCATATTTGCTGAACTCATTAACCTCTGATTACTCGAATCCAAATAACCATTCCAGGCTTTTCGAGCAGCTAAGAGGCTTTTATCATCACACACTTCGGATCCATCTTGATGCCTACACTTTTCGCCTTTTTCTTTCTTTTCTACACATAGAAAAGCCATCTTATCTGTTACACCAACCGGCTTCTTGCTAGGACACGCATCAAGAGGCTTTACATCGTTACGGTCACATACTCGTCCTTCATCAGCGTATGCTTTCGTGATATAATTGACAAATCTCTTATCTTCCGAGCGTGCTTTAGGTAGAAACGAAAAATCCGAATGTCTCGCACGCAGACCACTAGTAGCTTCCGTATTATTTCCTGTTTTAGCCTGATAAGCTAATCTTCCAAACCTACTACTAGCTATCTTAGCACGAGACATAATAAATTCCGTCAAATCGTTAAAATTGGGCTCTCTCTCCTCTTCGTCCCACTTCAATACTAGCTCTGCCCACTGGGCTTGCATTCGACGAGGTAAGAGCCTTACTATTCGTTCTAAAGTAGCCATAGAGTTAAGTTCCGTTGTGCAATTGAGCTGTTCTCAAGTTAAAGCAGCATTCTGCATTTTAATAGCCAAGTTCGTCAATGATTCAGGATCATTAAATTCTACATTCCCAGTTCTAAATAAGTCCTCTAAGGTTTCTCGCGCTATTACATGCGACTGTCCAAAGAGCTGTTTTAGAATGGCCTTAGCTCTCTTATATCCTGATTGTGGATCCATAATAATACAGCCTTCAATCGCATTTTTTGCTTTTCCCTTACAATAATGAATTAAATACAATAAACGAACTTGATCGTCCCTTACTCGGGGTTCTATAAACGTCTCTATTTGCCGTATGAACCTAAAATAGTCGCGAGACCTTCCATCAAAAAATGAGAGTTCAACCTTAGGTAATTCTAAACCCTCCATCGATGTCTTTCGTATCTGATCGGTCTCTGGTACTTTAGGACTCTCACTTAATCCTGATTCCTTAATGCCTGCCAAGGGTGACTTACAATAATAAATATCAGACATAACATGTGGGTTACCCATAAAAAGGTTATCATTAACGACTTGCCTAGAGCCCTGTGATCCGTCGAGCTCTTCTACCGTCCTCATGTTTGCTTTCTTCCTGCTTGACATTATAAATGGGGTTCAATACGAAAGGTAACAGATACAAAATAGTAATTCCACGGTTCAGTTCAAAAATATGATAAGTAGTTCCAACTTCTTCCTCCAAGGAAGTCTAGTATGATAAACGATTAAAATTCCAAATGTTTCTTTATAATTCTTAATAATCCGAATAGTTCCAAAATATATGTGTTCAGATGAATATTTCCAAAGTATAATCCACGAAAGAAGAAATTCCACAAAGTATAGTCCACGAAAGAAGAAATTCCAGACTGTAGCTTTATTTCGACAGTGGCTGTCCCAATTGTTTCCTATAGAAACACTCCTGTACGTTCCTCCTAGTTCCGGGTCCCGACCAAATCAAAAAGGGCAAAATTGTAGGAGAAAACGTCTCTATATTATCATAAAATGGAAATACAAAGTCTTACGGAATTTGTGTTTCTTCCAGGGTTAAATTACTCCGCAGAGTATCCAACACAATCACCAATAAGTGAAGCTAAGTCCAGCAGCCACCGCGTCCGTCCGAAAATGTGGCGGTAGCCATATTATATCAAATTTAAACAATATATGTACAATTCAGAAGCAAACCCAAAAACTTCAATATAAGTACAAATATAGAAAGAATAACAATATACAATGATAAAATCTCAAATTGGAATCAAATAAAATACCAAAAATGTCAGGAGAAAAGTCCATCATGTCATAGCAAAAATATGTAAACATGGAGGGATTTTCCAAAAAACAAAACATTCAAAAAGAATTCTACAGACAGTATATGATCACTGGCAAACATTGAGCGATTTCATCCAAAAGTGATGTCTTAGACAATGTACCTCAGTCACACCACACACTTGGGAATAGAAAAACTTGGGTTAGTCGTGGCAGTGAACGCAGTGAACAGACAAATAGAAGACCCGAAACAAGTGGAAGGTCTCCTTGAAGGATTCCGATTGCAGTTCTTACTTGGCATTGAGAAAAAGATGCAGTAAGAATGTTTGAATTGATAGGAGACAATTTCAGATGAAGCTCGCTGACATAATACGGGCAAACCCGAGTCATCTGTTTAGGTACATGTCCAAAAGAAACCTACTAATCAACGGTTGTATTCTCTGAAAGGACCGAACGGGGAAGACCTCACGAACCTAGATATGTCTGAGATCTTCAACACTAACTTTACTGAGCGGTTAAACCAGACACCCACATGTTCAGAGTACTGAGCAAACCCATTGCCAGCTGACGGCTTAGGGAATATCCGCATCGTTCCTGACTTAGCACTAAGGAAACTAAAATCCTCACGCCTATATAAGTCACCAGGTTGTAACAAAATTCGCCCCATAGTTTTGAAACAATGTGCAGAAGTCCTCTGTTCACGGATATGTAATCTGTTCAGAAATTCACTGGGATTACACCAACTTCCAGCTGAACGGAAATAAGCTACTCTGTCTTCAGTCTTCATTGGAGGAGGTAGAAAGGACCCACCCTGTTACAGACCAGTCGCAGTACCACCAATATTATCAAAGATTATGGAAGTAATAGTGGACGAACAAATGAGGGAGTACATGGATAAGAAAAAAGTACTCCATGAAGCTCAACACGGGTTTCGGAAAGGCAGGTCGCGTGCATCTAATCTTCTCATAGCATGGGATAGTTGGACATTTTGCTTGGCCCATAAAATACCGGTGCACGTAATATTTCTTGTCTTTGCCACATCATTCATATTCTGCCTCACATGACGCAAAAGATTTGCACCATCAATGGAAGACCGCCCCCTTATGTCTCTTCAGAGAGCGATCTCGGTTTAATAACCAAAGAAAGCCTCCACACGAGTCCGAACTGTGTAGGGGACGCGGCACCAAGACAACTTGGTGCTATCAGCCCCAGGACTATTCTTAACATTATTTAAGACATACGCGCGCCTACACCTGGAGGTTCACAACCTCATCGCACACCGTCTGCTTAAAAGAGACATAAATATCGTAGATCGAGTGCAGAGACGAGCAACCAAATTGGTGATAGGGTTGAAAATTGAGCCTTACGATGAAAGTCTCCAGCACATGGGGTTATTTCCGCTGAGCTACAGGAGAATCAGAGGTGGTCTGATCATGGCGTACAACTTATTAAGCACGCCAAACCATCCCAACGTGATCATCTTACCGATTCATCACCACCACCAGTCCCCTCGAGGGAATCCTTGAAAACTTGTACATCAAAGAGCGAAAACTCAGGTTCGTTCACACTTTTCCTCATCGAGAGTCGTCGCATCTTGGGATGCTCTCTCAGCCGAGGTGACTACAGCTCCCTCAGTGGACAGCTTTGAGAAGAGACTTGATAATCACGAACTCACATACGGATTTTCATCTCCCTCTTGGACAAGCTGTTCATGATGCATATCATGAGACCTGCTAGTTGTTATCATTCCCATCTCCTCATATCACTCAATTAATCTATCTTCCTTGATATATCTGCTTCCTCTTCCTTGCTTACACTTCAGTCCTCTCTCACAATCTTCACTACCAATTAATAAACTAAATCATCTATATATTACTTAGTTCTGAAATTTTATTCATATTAGCATTAGAATTTTATACTTATTATACTTATCATTCTTCACATTGCAACTAACTGATCTCCGATCTGGTAATGTGATAGCTGCTGGTATCCAGAAGCCCTACTGCCGTGAAACAAACGTTTTCATTCAAATCCCGAGACATACAGACTCACAACCAAATGACTAAAATTAGACAGCTGAGTGGCTAGACCCTCATTCATTGGACACTACCAAACACATGGAACCGTACCGAAAGAACAAGAATCGAGCGCAAAAGAGCCAATTGGTTTATACTAGCTCGTGAAAAAGATATTGGATATTGGAAATGGCTTAGCACTTGAATCGGTATGGTAACTGACCTTTTTCGTATCATTTCATTTAGTTTGATGGCTACAACTAGTCTATTTATTGCGTAGACTTTACTTCTATTAGTTGCAAGTAGACGCAGTTATTTAGTGTCCGGGAATTGGATAGACACCAAGGAGGTTGTTTGAACTATTTGTTCTATCCTATGACCGGTCAAATTGGTTGGTTTCTGGGTTTTGGCTTCGTGTAAGGTAGTAATCCAGTTGCGATGTATGTGATTTTTCACTAGTTTACGTAAACAAATTTTTTGTCCATTGTTTGCACAGTTAATGGGTGATAGCTTGTGCAGTAACAAATGACCATATCAGATCATGTTTGTTACGAAATTATTTCTTGGTCTCCAGATTTTGGTTTAGCAGTAAGTGGAAGACTCTTCAAAGCAAGATATTTGTTTAGAATAAGGATTCATCAAAGCATACTGCTAGCCATTAATCCCGTCACTACACTGAGCTTGGTAATTACGTATATCAGTCAAATTTGCTATATTACATTGGCATAGAGAAATAAATTCCAGTTGTCTACTGTTGCTCATCGTCATTGCCTTTTCCATCTCTTTTGCTTCCTCTACCCTCCTTAGCCCATTGTCATTGAGTAGGCTATCAGCTTTTGTTTCAGCTACCTCCGCTTCTCATCGTGATTTGAGTCAGGTAAGATGAATTTCCGAAAGTCTATCGGTCTGGTTGACATCATTGAAATCCACTGGGTTTCGCTGAATCTTAAGTCTAACTTTCCGGCTGATATCACTTGTTTACAAAGTCTTTCGGATATCCATTCTGCTTCAGGGTTGTCTAATTCTTCGTAGTGCTTGCTAAAATGTACTCTTGAACTTCTAACCATCAAATACAACTAGGGTTTTTCCTTGTCCATTTTTTGTTCAGTAGGACTAACAAAAATTCGCACTTGTGGTTGCTCATGACCTGGGCAAACGTGTACTCCAGAATGAGCGGCAGTTTTCTATCAAGCTTCTCCATCAGTTGTTGGCGGCCTTGGGCAGGTCTCCCGTGATCCTACACATCAATAGTCATGAGCTTCTCGTCCTAATAGTTCCCTCCATGTTTCTTTGGAGAGAACCAGTGTGGCCCCTTGTATGTACGGCCAGAATATGTATGTACGGGCCGAATACGGTTACAGCCCTCTCATAGTCAGTCTTTCCTATCCAATGGTTTTCACCCATTCCCGAGATCGCCAGGTTGCATTTTTGCAATTCTGCCGGTGTTTGGTTGACCTTCCTACATTTTCCGTACATCTCATATGTCAATGGTGCTACGTCAGTTGTCAGAGGAGACAGGCTGTCTCAAAAAGACTTGACGCCTTCATCACAAAATGCCATAGCTCTTTTATATAAAAACCTTACAATTCTTGGGTCAAAGTTCGGGTGGTTATAAATGACTTCTGGTCAGCATTTCTCTTCAGAGGTGGGTTTGGCAACTTAACATTGCGTTATTACAGCCTATTCCTACACTTGACAACATCGTGCGTCAAATCGCGCAGTGGTTAGACACACTTACTACATACGGGTGACCTCAAATGACAAGGTTTTACTGTATCACCCACCACCTTGCCATCTTTACCCAGTATCGCATGGTTAAAAACAGCATTACAGACTCGATGGCCTTAAAATGCTTCGATTACACATATGATCGAATACCGGTAACCCACGAACGTCCTCTACTCTTGATGACCATGTTAAACACCCATAAAGTAGAATGGAGCAAACTGTTGTACGATAAACTCGTCCTTTGGTTAGTAGACAGATATCTCGATTGGCAAAAGCCAACAGAACCTCTGAATCTGTGCCCAGGCTTCGTCAGACGCCTGGCGATTGGCACTGACGAGACTTACAAGATAAGCGGGACGGTCGATACGCCTAACTAGTTCACTTGTCACTAATGCAGACACTGAGACAAACCAGTTGTGGATCACGACAAACGTATAGAGGGAGAGAACCGCATCATTAACATGCTCAGGCTGTTACCTAAAGTAATCAGGAACAGCACTTTGTAAGGGTCTTCACCAAACGGAACTTTATCATTTGCACAGCACAAGTCAGCAAGTGGATTTCCTAGTAAAATATCCAACTCCGAGAAATCAGATGAGAGAGTTATCTCTAAAATTATGTCTATAACAAAGTTAGACGGAAATAAGTGAAGTGAACAGCATTGTTTCCTTGATACTTTTACTGTTACCAATGATCGCTGGTTTTCCTATCGATTTCGCTTTCGTTGCCTACGTTGATTTCCCAGTATTTTTCGTCAGGTTGCGTTGAAGCTACCCGTGCTCCTCATCGTGTTCTGAGCCAGAGGAGACGAGTTTTCAGGCATCCATCAGTAAAGTAGATGCTGCCCAAATTCATTGATGTCTCTTCCGTTTCTAGTTTAAGTTACTGATAGATATCACTGTCATCCTCACATCTGTGTAGATGTCAGGTCAAGCTATATTGGGGTGGAGAAAAAGTTCCGAATTCTTATATACGTATGTTTATAATCTTGGATTACCAGTTAAATAACTTCAATATGTTGATAAAAGAGTAATATTGGTTAGTATAATACAAGGATAAAAGACATGAATAAAATGAGAAATTGTCGTATTACAATGGATGGGTATCACCTACATGGTTTACTGGTTGAATTTACAGTTTTTGAGTAATTTATCGATTTTTTCATCATTAGTCAGTCAGTCAGTTGCAAGTTAGAACTTCGTACGTATGTACATAAGTTCAGGACATTATCATTAAGTTAATGGTTTTCTAGCTGTTTTTTCTATATCCAGTAATGTATTAACAAGTGAGTGTTTATACCGTGGCATGATCTGAGTTGATACGTGCTTCAAAGTGGGCGTCAGTCTTCTATCGAACCTCCGACGGTGGCTTATGACGATATGATATGGAGTGTAGACATCAAACGCTACAGAATGTAGTTTCGAACGAGGTTTCAGTAGACCAGCTGTAGCAAGGCCAGATATCCGGTCGCTGACTAAAGGACGAGTGTACTGCGCAGTAGTTCGCTCCGTCTTACTTTGTGGCTGTGAAACATGGCCAGTGAGAGTAGAAGATATTCGTAGGTTACTTGTTTTCGATCATAGGTGTCTTCGAAGCATTGCTCGTATATCGTGGGACACCCGAGTGAGCAACGCTGTTATTAGGAATCGGGTGCTAGGTAAGAATGCCAGATCAATAGATGAAGTGATGAAACTTCATCAGTTGAGGTGGTTGGGACATGTGCTGCGTATGCCTAACCACCGAATGCCTTGTTTTGTGATGTAGGAGTAGGTTGGAAGAAAGTTAGGGGTGGCCAGACCAAGCATGGCACAAATCCATGAAGTAATTGACGAGTGGACTTAGCCATGTCGGTAATTGTCGACTACCTTGGTTGGGGTCCGCGAGATGATAATAGTCGATGGTTAGAGACCTTGAATGACATGGCTCAAAATCGTTCGCGATGGCGCCGGTGCATTTATTCTTTGTATTCTCTCAAATCCTAGTCTTCTGGATTCTTCAACACCTCTAGTTTTGACTTTCTAAAGTTATGTCACTGAATCATACTTCTTGAATAATATCTTCTAATCCTAACCTCTCCGATTACTTCTAATACCTTTACTACCTCTACTACTTTTGGATTTGAATTGACAATTACATGTCTGTGCTGATGTGGTATGGCAACATGAACTGATGTACTTACGTACGAAGTTCTACGTTGCATCTGACTGCCTGATTTCTATTAACTCGAATCTTTGGCATTGGCGGTAAGGGTCGATAAAGGACCTGGTAGTGATACCTTTACCTGGGGTACAACTGCTTACGGCCGATCACTCTTGGACTTCATACAGTAGGCGTTTGGTATGTTAATTCCTTATTTCAAAAGGCCTAAACTCAGGCAACCAAAGTCCTCAGGATAGCGTGAAGTATGACATTTATGAAGCCATCCTTTACTAATTCCCTTCCGTTGTAAAAAGGTAGCACTGCTTCAGATGTTGGTCATCTGAGGATAACACCTGTGCAGTCTTCTCTCTTAGATGTTACGTTTTTACCCTAAGTTTTACTGTTCTCCAACAAAATTAACTGACAATAGTACCTAAAGAATAATTCCACCCGATATAAGTTGATTGAGCCATTACGGTAGGTAGGCCCAACCACCACTTCACTCACCTGCTACTGTTGGAAATTAAATAATAAAGCCCTAATTATTGGCAACGTGGCTTCACTGATATGCCCAAATTTTTATCAGGATGTTTTGTTCAGTGTAGTTTTATTTTGACTGAATAATTAAAATAAACTATTAATCCAGTTATTTTTTTGTCTCCATTGATTTTCCAGCTATGTGGCCTCATTTCTCTGCTACCGCCTGGACGAAATCCCTCATTCATGGGCCCCCACCAACATCTGTCGAAGAAAAAGTAGATAACTCCGATGGCTGGGGAGCTCTAGCTCGACAATGGGTGCATCAGCGTAATAGTCAGTTACAACATAACTATGCTAACAATGTAGCCCTGCCACCACCTCCACCACCGCCCCCACCGCCACCTCCTCCTCCTCCTTCACCACCACCACCGCCTCCACAAATTCCTTTCACACAACCAACAGAAGGTCAATCAGATACAAACAACTTAGTTCCTAGTGCATCCCAAGTTATCACGAGTCATCCATCGATACAAAACCCTTTAATATATACATCAGAAAACTCCCAGTCTTCACAAAGTATGTGCCCCACGCCTGAAAACCATGGGCCTTCACAAAATTCTTGGCCCCTACACGAACATTCCAGACTCTCACAAAACTCGTGGTCTAGAATTAGCGGTCAGACATACTCGCAAAATTTCTGTGCGGCACCTGGATATCATGGTCCTTCTCAATGTTCTTGGCCATCTTATAATAATCGTGAGCCTTCCCAGAATGCTTGGATCTCACAAGAGAATGTTCAAGGCAAATGGTCTGCCCCTGAAAGTCATTCTTATGCTAATCAAGTTCCACAGGGATATGATAATACCATTCCCTCATCAGGTCCTTCATCTCAATATTATGAGCATAATCTCAATCAGATAAACTATTCCAGTCAAAATTTAAGTAATCCTGCTATACATTGTGAGTCCTATGAAGAACAATATTGCAATGTAGGGAGTGGCCATATGGGTCAAAACACACGTTATCAGAAGAAATGGGCGCAAAACGATCAAGTCAATTGTAACTATGGTTCACATACTTCAGAAGCTTTTAATTATCATCATTCTTACTCTCTCGAAAGGTCATTAAATTCGCCAGCTACCAGACCTATTAATCCTTACAACCAACCCTATCCACGTTTTGGCCAGAATAGTCGTAACGCGTGGCCTAAAAATCCTGAGCCTCGCCAATGTGCAGAAGGCTTTCCTCCACAAGCACATTTCAACGATATGCACCATCATCGTCCAAGTTATCAATATCAGGTGAGGGTTGTGAATTTGTCTTGGGTTAAGAAGTTTCCTGTATACTCAAACATTTCATTAAATCATCCAGTATTATTGCAGAACGATATCCGTAGTAATATCTTTTATAAACTTATAGCCAGTGAATTTTAGATAGATTATTTTGAATGATAGGTACTATTTAATATTATTATGTTATTAAGAATATTGGAAGTTGTTTTCGGGGTTGTGTTACCCATAGACTCAAGCGTAGTTGCGATATGAATGTTAATTATTGTATAGTGTTTTCCTCCAGGAATATCACTATTTAGGGGACATGGATATCCAGTATTTCTAACTTATGATGCAGTAATGATGTTCAACTGCAGTGACCATTCAACTGTAGCTCATTATAAGCAACAAGATTACTAAAATTTAAACGTATTATGTGACTCTTAGAAGCCTATTATTTATAAATGTTTTTTGTGGTAAGTTGATAAAAAACGTCATCATTCTTTACTTCTGTTCAGGATGAGCCTAAATATAATCCTCCCAGTGAACATATACCGGTGATTGAAGGTAACCAATTCCGTAGATGTCAAGATCATGACTACCGCGTTACAATGCAAAGTCCTACAGTTCCGTCTGGTAGTATAGAAGAAAGTTGGAAGGATATAGACACTCGTCCAATTCTGCCTAGAGACAGTGATCACACAAGCCCTGGAATATTTCCGTCGGCTATCGCGAATAAAACCCTGGCCGATTCCAGACCAATTTCGCTTATTCCAACACCTGTTATTGAATCTTCGTGTAAGCCAAGGGGTCGTATCACACAACTGCCTGTTCCAGAACACCTAATGACTGCTTTCGGTGGGCCCTTATATTTTCATTTTCCGTTCACACTTGATGTCTTTGATTTTTCGCCTTTTTAAGGGTCAAGGTTTTATTTTATAGCATAACATCATACTTTGTTTCGCTTAACGGGCTCATATCCTTTGTAAGACTGACTGTTTGCTTAGGACTTGTTATAATGCAGTTTATTGAGATGTACCAAGAGCAGATAGGGTTTCAAATTTGGTTAATATAAAGTTGAACTATCCTTCTCAAATCCTGTATTTGTAAGCGATGCATGAATAATTTCATTTCAGTTGTCTGAGAATTTGAAAAGCTTGTCCGTTCTGCCTAGTGTGACAAAAGTCTTTCCAAATCTCACTATAGTTTTAATGTACCTGATAGTGATGCCGTTCAACGACTTTAAAATCCTTTCACTTGTTTTTATCCAATCAAAAACTGACAGACCTTCAGTTCATTTTAAAGGTATAGGTTTTTTGGTTTATAGATTATGTATGTATAGGATAAATTCTAGTGCAGTTCAGATACAAGAGAATAATGCGCTGCACCAATGAGTGTCATATGATAAAACAATGGAAGTGAAGATCGTACAATCACTAAGCAAATGAAAAAATTAGCATTTAATGGAGTTGTAAGTTCAGTCAAAAATGTAGTTAAGAGGTGGAGCTCACCTCACATTTTATGAAAAATGCAATAAAAAACTACTGGAAAATCGCTACAGACTTATACTCCAAGCAATCCCTCGTGACCTGTCAAGGTAGTGATATAGCATTATCTTCCATACTCAGGCTTTACATTGTAGGCTTACTTCTTTATCACTTATTTCTAGCGTCCGTATATAGTATGCGCTAAGGATATCGCAGGATATTACAGTCTCAGACCATGACTAAGTTCCCACTTTTTGGTTTGATTGATGTGCATTATCTTTGGTTAGTTAGTGATATTGGGAATGATGTGTTTAGTAGTTTGACCTTTTTCCAGAAGATGGGATTTCACCTTGTGCAGTTGCTTAGTAGTTGGACAAAAGAAAGCTAACATCATTTGTGACTAGCTCTTCAGTTTGGTTAGCCGGTTTTTAATTATCCTGGTTTTGTCGGTCACTATTTTATAATTTAAAACCCTGTCCAGAAGAAGCTGCTGCAAGTACTGGAGTTTGGCCTCCAAAGGGTTTAGAATCAGAACAAACCTCATGTGGTAATGTCAAACCTCGTGCTCTCCCTGCTTGGCTTCGTGATGAATTAGAAAAATTAGAGAAGAAAAAAGCTAAAGAATTGGCTGCTGTATCTGGAGCTACTGGTTAGTCTAGTTTTTGTGTTTATAATACTCATAAGTTTCAGAACACTTGACAACATGTAAAGTTGAAATATGAATAAACTTTTTAGCATTAGTGTGTCCATATCCCTTACAAACCTACATAACTTGGTAGGTTAAATTAATAGTCCCACCGGTTACTCCCTTTTCATCTGACTCACATTTGATCTATGCGCACGCTGACTTATCGACAACTAATACGAAGCAGTCTTAGTATAAAAATCATAAATAATCAAACACTTGCGTGTAGTTCAGTTTGATTGCTTTATCTATCATAATGGACCTATTTGATGTTCACCACTCAGAGCTAATAATAGAAATAACTAACGAAAACTTTCTCTGTGAATTTTTCCTTTCTTGAATAGTAGTAGCAGTAGTATTGTTTACTTCATGTGACATACTCTTAATCGCCCAGTTAACTATGAACTGTTGATGTCTTTCAGACTGTAAAAACTTAATGTTAACTAGACATCTGTAATACATTTTTCGTACTATATCCAGCTACATTAAAAGCTGTGATTTCATACAACTCTCGTCATTCTTCTAACTCCTTTTAAAATGGTTCAAATACACATGAACTTTTTATGTCTAATCAGTTCTCCGATACTAGTTGTACATTTGGAACACTTAATAATGAGTTCACTAGCAGTTTCAAACTGCATTGAACAAATCTTAAGTATGTTTGATCTTTAATATAATGTATTGTAATGTATATTTTCCTGTTTAGTACTGCACATTCGTGAAGAGTTCGTACTGATCTTGATTTGAATTGACTTTCCGTTGATATGATTCTTTTAGTTTCATCTTCCAAGGCTGTTCGTTCACCGTATTGTTTAAAGTTTGTCTAGTTGCTTAGCATCTGCACACTTGTTACCTGGGTTTTGTCTTCTTATTAATAGGAATCATATCTTGGGTTGTTCAGGCTGACTTATTCAGAATACTGCAATAAATATGATCATTCCGATGATTGTTAGATGCTATTTGTTTAATTTCAGAATAATGTGGTTTTATTGCTTCGTCGTTATTTATACTACGACTAGCATTAAGATACTTAAATGAACACTAATTGCGTATCCTACTACACTACTTCCGTTCTTGACTCATCAAATATGTTACTATGTAAATCACCATTATAATTTATTCTGAACACGTAAGATTATTTAAAATTACCAAAAAGCTTTATCACTATCTTAAGTTTTAGGGGCTGCTCCTGATGCTAAAAGGGATGATGAAGGTGATATTGTTATGGAGGATGAAGCTAAAACTGATGTCCAAACAATGAAATCTCTGTTAAATACTAATGAAGAATCGGATGGTGATGTCAAAGAACAAGGAAGTCCTTTGGACTCATGTAATCTTGTTGATGACCATTCTCCGTGTTCACCTCGAAGTCAACCTCCTACCGAATTGGAGGAAAACACAAATCCAGAAACTGCGGTAAAACAACTTACTACAGATAATTCTCAAAGTATTTTATCCAATACTCCTGCATCATTAACGGTAAGCTCATTGAAGCCTGTAAGCGAATTTCAGTACTTAATCGTCAAGCTACTGTATGGTGATTTGACTTCTCGTAGCTATATTCTACATTTAAATTGAAAGTCCCAGACATTCCATTAATACACTCGTATAACATCAACTTGTTTCATTGTTTTGAAAAGAGTAGGATTTGAAGCAGTTAAACTCTTTTTAGTCTATACGATTTTGAAAGGGAATTTTTTTCCGGAAAGTATCAGGAAAAGTTGACTGCACTTTTCAAAGATCACTAACTATTGTATTGTCTAGCGCCTTGATCAGTTGACGCATATTGTCATTAAATATGACTTTATTGAAGTTGATGCTACTTCACTCATTCTCTGCCACATGTTTAATATGTATTTGGTTTTGCGAATGTCGGAACTTCCGTATTCGAACTGGTGTGCACAACAGCCTACACATTCATTATCCCTTCAAGAATTTCGTGAGTTATTCACATCCTTGTCGGACGAAGAACAAAGGAATGAAACGGTAAGAAAATATTATAAACAATTTATTTCCCTAAACGCATGTACATCTTTTTTATTTCGTCTACATTATTTGAAAAATATCTAAATTTTGTATTATCTAATAAATTTATATTACCGACCTTATTAAGTCTTTCATAATACGTTTATTTAAGTGTCTTTTCTAATTTTGTAGTAGTCTTTTGTACTGATCAAAAGTTTTACCAACATCTTCAAGTAGTAAACACTGACAAGCGGTCGGTGACTTATTGTTATGGATATTGGAAAGTTAATACGCAGATCACATTGAATAATTTTGTGTTGTTGTCATCTTTCACTTGTTAGTTCTGACTCACGCCCCAGGACATAAGTTTGTATCTGAGTTAATTTGATTTTATTCAGCTTGGTCTTAAATATTGTAACAAGTTATGTTGTTTAAGCAAGCCTTGCTCTTTGAAGTTGTTGAAATATTTGATTTTATGGTTCTGGTAGTTTCACTAGAGGTATTCAGAAAGCCGTAGATATGGTCATTCGTCAGCAATACACATTTACTGATACTCTTCTTGAGACTCGAACCTTCACCCAGTGACTTAGTCAACGACATCGCTACTCAGGATACGAATAATATTATCGGATTAACATATTAAGACAAGTCAATCAATACTAAGGATCAGGTGGACATGAGGTTGGTTGTTCGTCAGTAATCAGTAGTTGTGAATCGCTCTCAGACTATGACATTCGTGGTAAAGAGTATTTTTGTGTGGTCGCTTTCATGAAAAAAGTGGTTATATAATCTGATCTTTCAATCATCTATCCACAGAATCTAGCTGCGCTGCTCCTACGAAGATATGAGCAGCCAAATAATTTACCTGTGCTAGCCTAGCAAATAATTGTGTGTAGATTATCAATATGATGATATAATTGTTTCTTACATACCTAGGTTCTAAAGCACAAAATCTTAAATGAAAATAGTATCTGTTGACTACTAAACAGTCTTTTTGAAACAAGATTCCACGGATTCTAATGATCAGTTAATTTCATTTTGTTTAATAGGCTCGTTTTATTACCCGCACACTGACGGAAGCTCTATTGGTTGTTACAACTGAACTGATCGATAATATAGTGGGAGAGGTGATGATAGAAGCTACCTCGCGGAAATCGCATGTTACGCCATTGGAAAGCTCTCCATCTGCAGAGATAAAATCTCCAATTTTAGGTAAGTGGATTTGCATGTGTCTTGTATTTCATTCCGTAAATATAGGTTAGCTTGTTATGTTTAAGCCTAATGTTATTGTTTAAAACACATTCGGAGTTCCATTTATTGAATGGATAGAACGCGATGAATGATAAATTGAACTGTTATTTATCTCGATGATTATTCACGTAAAATGTATCTATACAGTTTGTGTGTATGCCCTACTAGCAGTACTTCGAAAAACGATTTCTGATCGGTTATTTTTGGTTGTATTTTTTAATGTTTCTTCAGCTCCATTTTTCAAAATATGTTTTGGCATGGTTTATGAGGAAAAGCTTGATGCCCAACTCTTAGTCACTGAAAGTCTCCTAAACTGCAGCTTCCACTAAATTTTATGACGACACAGAGTTCTAATTATTCGTATAGCACGCCTAATTTATATTGACATGTGAACTTGGGTTCTTCATGGAAAAAAATTCACTTTTGTAGTTCTTATAAATGTAATATAGAAAAGCATAATCACTTATTAGTTCACGTTATACTAAGTACGTCAAAAGCCAACAAAGATAAATCATAAGAACAATATTCATGGTATTAATAAAGTTGTATGGCAACTTGAACTTATGTACGTACGTAGGTACGAAGTTCTACGTTGTAACTGACTGACTGACTCATGATACTGAAAGTAGTAAACTAAGTGATCATAATATTGACGGCATTCACTTCAATGTTCAAATAGGTAGAATGAGTGAAAGGAAAGACACCTGGGTGAATCTTATGATGCCAATCAATCAATCAATAGCAACGTATAACTTCGTATGTACGTACATCAGTTCATGTTGCTATACCATATTAGCATAGAAATGTAATTATTTATTCAAATCCAATAGTAGCAGAGGTAGTCAGGATATCAGCAGAGGTCGGAGAGGTTAGGATGAGAAGATATTATTCAAAGAGTAGAAACTAGTGAAATAGACTTAAAAATATAAAGTGATGAGGAATTAAAAAGTTTAGGATTTGAGAGAACACAAAGAATAAATGCACCTGCGCCATTGCAAACGATTTTGAGCCGTGTCATTCAGGGTCTCTGACTATCGATTGCTAACATTTCGCGGACCCCAACCAGGTAGTCGGCACCTACCGACATGACTCAGTCCACTAGTCAATGACTTCTTGCATTTCTGCCATGTTTTGGTCTGGCCGCCCCTAGCTTTCATCCAACCTATCCCTACACCGCAAAATATAGCTCTTCGAGGCAGTCGGTGGTTAGGCATACGTAACACACGTCCCAACCACCTCAACTGGAGTTTCAATATTTCATTTATTGATCTGCCGTCCTTACCTAGCACCGGTTTCCCAATATCAGCATTGCTCACTGGGGTGTCCCAGGATATACGAGCAATGCTTCGAAGACACCTATGATTGAAAACCAGTAACCTACGAATATCTTTTACTCTCACTGGCTATGCTTCACAGCCATAAAGTAGGACGGAGCAAACTACTGCGCATTACACTCGTCATTTAGTCAGTAAGAAGACTTGTCCTTCCGCATAAATTGGGACAATCAGTGATTAAGAGCAGTCGGATGGGATTACGTCCAGTTCCCAGATGCGACCTAAGATCTCAGCCAATCTAGCTGCTAAAACTGGACCACAATCCTTAAATATCTCAGGGGTCAATCTATCAGGACCCGCAGCTCGCCCTCGCTTCAGATTTCCTGTCGCTTTCTCAACTTCATAAACAGTCGGGGTACTTACGTTGATTTGCCATTCGGGATGAATGGAGATCGTGGTTAACCGAGGTGTAGCTGAATGCCAGTTGAACTGATCCCTAAAGTGTTCTGCCCATCAATCCAATATCCTGGATTGAGAATAAATAATAGTCCCATCCTTTTTCGAGAAAGTCTCACTTATAGTAGGATTCCTAACACCAGTTTCCTAGATAAGTCGGAAAGTTGTGTATTATAGCCTATCGCCGCTGCCTTTTCCATCTCTCTTGCTTTCGCCACCCACCACTGTTCACGGTCGTTGCGTAGGCTTCTTATCAGCCTGCGCTTATGCTGACTTTGCTCTTCATCATGTTCAGAGCCAGGTGGGGTGAGTTTTCGAGCACCAATCAGTTCGGTGGATGCTACTGAGATCCACAGCTTCTTCCTCGACTTATGGATTACCTTACTAGCAGATATCACTGCTGTTTCCACAGCTTTTTGGATATCATTCCAACCTCCCTCCGGATGGGAATCGCTTAAACGGTCGCCTAACTGTCTTTCTAGTTGTTCCTGAAATATATTCTTAGCCTTATTATCATTAAGTAAAACCCTAAGAGGCTTCCTTATGGTGGCTTTCCTACGTCCAGTAAGCCTCAAACAAATACGAGCTCACACTAAGGCATGATCTGAATCTAAACATGTGCCCCAGAACGAGCGACAGTCCTCTATCGAACCCCTCCATCGGTGGCTGATGGCAATGTGATCTGGTTGGGTCCAACGTTGAGACGACTTTGGGGTCGCCATGTCAAGAGATGTTCTTCCTTATGCCCAAAGTTAGTGTTTGCTAGGAATAGACGGTTATCTGAGCATAGTTGCAACAGACGGTCGCCATTGTCTGTTCTCTGAACTACGAGACCATAAGATCCACTCAGGTGTCTTTCATTTTCACTTAGTCTACCTACTTGAGCATTAAAGTCACCAGCCATTATTACTACATCAGAGTGCCTAACTTTTTGGAGGAGGTCCGAAAGCTTTCTGTGGAACTCGTCTTTCACCTCGTCCGAACTGCATTCAGTGGGGGCATAGGTAGATATGACGAAGAGGCAATGACGGGTGTCCCTATCTTTACGAGTGCTCATTGTTCCGTTTCGTCGAACAGCGCATAAACGACGATCTACCGGGATCCAGTCTATGAGAGATAGTTCTGCCCTACGACTCAATGCTATACCTACAACAGCGAGACCTCGGGAGGCAGCATCAGGGCTACCGGATACATGAAGAGTAAATTGGGCTGCTTCTTTGTTTTGATAAGGTGAAATCAAATTAATGATTTTACTAGGATCTCGTATGCGCGGTTCCGAGACGCAGAATACATCGATGGCGCGAGATTCTAATGTCATAGCTAAGGAAGCCTGTTGCCCTATTTGACACAATGCCCGTATAATAAAAGCTTCGACATGTAGTCTAGAATGGGGTTTCAGGAGACCAGGACTGACGTTTCGTGAGCTCGCATCATTTGCATTAGCGGTGCAGTGAGATAAACGAATGTGTGTAGAGTTAATCGTGGAGATAAGAGAGATATTAGGTGTTGGATTTGATTTGGACCAATTCTGTCTTGCGTGCTGTTAATGGTATGACGGCGTTTGTCACTTCCCGGCTGCCCACACCGGTCACGCACAGCCATTTTATGAAAGGATTTTTGAGAATTAGCTCCGCTCTTAAAAGCCCTTAGTGGGTACCCTTATCGCCGTAGACGGAAATCCGTAAGGTAAGGTGAGGTGTGACATTTTTAGGTTCGACCTTTCCTAACCCTTCCTTCCTTCTGAAAAGGCAGCATCGCTGCAGTTGCTGGTTGTCCGAGGGAAACACCTTACTGTTGTCACACCCCTCTGCAGTCCTCAGTACTTCTTCTTCTGTTCTTCTTTAACTTTGTCATAGACGTTCTTTTAGAGATAACATTATCTTCGTCTGACTTTTCAAGGGTCAACCTTCTACCGAGAGACTCGCTGTAGACTTAGAGTATGCCGATGACATAGTTACACTTGGTGAAGACTTTGACAAAATGCAGAGTCTTCTGACTACCCTAAGCAACAATGCAAGCGTGTTCAGGAGGCGATTCTCCCCGTCGAAATGCAAAATGTTGCTTCAAGTTTCGCTTGCATCGGCACACGAACTACTAATAGGGAGTGAAGCCGTTGAGCGTGTTGACCACTTCACTCATCTCGAGAGTCTCATCAGTGCTGATGACCTGGTGATTGACGAAATCTCATCACGGATACAGAAAGCTCGATTGTCTTATGCCAATCTGCGTCACTTATGATGTAGGCGAGATATCCGTTTGCTAACCGATGGACGAGTGTACTGCGCAGCAGTTCGCTCAGTTCTTTTTGGCCGATTAAGAGTAGAAGATATTCGTATGATACTGGTATTTAATGATACGTTTCTTCTAAGCACTGATCATGTACCTGGAACAACCGAGTAAGCATTACTGTTGTTAGTAAACGAGTACTAGTTTAGAATGGAAACTGATTGATGATGAAGTGATCTTTGTCAATTGACCTAGGTGGTATGGACATGTGTTACTTACGCCTTACCACCCACTACTCCGAAGCGCAATGTGGTCTGATGTATTTAGAGGTCGGCTGAACATATCGAGCTGTTGCGGTGTTGGAGTAGGTTTATAGAAAGGTAGGGGTGGCCAAACCAAAACATGGCACAAATCGATGAAGTCACTGACAAGTAAACTGAGTCACGCTGTTAGATGTAGGCTACCTGGTTGGAGTCCTCGAGACGATAGTAACCGATGGTTGGAGACCTTGAACGATATGTCTCAAAATCGTTTGCAATGGCGCAGATGCATCCACCCTTCGTGTTCTCTAAAATTCTGACCTTCTGGATTCCTCATGATCATTTTCCCCTTTCTAAAGTTATGTCACTGAATTATACTTCTTGAATAACATCTTCGACCCTAATCTTAATTACTGCTAATACTTCCACTGTCTCTGCCACTATGGGATTTCAAGTGACAATTACGTCTATGTGCTAATGTGGTATGGCAACCTGAACTTATGTACATATGTATGAAGTTCTACATTGTAACTGACTGACGGCAGTCAGAAAACCAACGAGGAACGATTTGTGAAGTTTCTGAATGATGCGACCTTCGATAGGAATAAAAGATACATAATTAAGGCATCTGCTGCTCAATCGATATCAACTAAGCTCATCCAAGTAAATTAATTTCTTCGACCTAACTAAAACCGACTGTATCACTCCACAGTGTCTTTTGGTATTTCATCGCTATGTTGTAATTCTTTATAAATTGTAAACTTTAAGATTTTCTAAACAGGAAAACGATAAATTCTTGTTTCGTAATCAAAAGCTATGTCCTGTTTTGTGCTATATTGTTTAATTTCTAACATGTTTCGTGATGCTTAATTGGGATATACCATTTGAAAAAGCTTACAAAATAACAACATTGTCATCAATTTAGACTATTTAAAATATTACCAGTTTAAAGCTATTTGTAACTGATATAACGGGAAAAATATGTGGTTGGTATTATATTGTGTCTCGTATGATCGGACTGTAATTACAGAAAGATAATTATAGTATCTCTCTCTAATCCGATCAATTAGAACGTCTGTCTGCAATAAGATCGGTGACATTCTTTCCAGTGAGTAACAACTAGAACCTTGACGCTCATTAGTTTTGGAGCCCCTATTAACCCAAGCATTCAGTCGGGAGAGAGTGGAAGTAGATTAGTTCTTTATTGTACTATATTCCGTCATGACTCAAAACATACAATAATCTCCCTGGAATGTTTGACAACACAGCGACGCAATTAAGGAATAGCAGTGTGGACATAAATTAGTCATGAGTGTCACAGAACCAGAGAAATATGGTAACCATTTACAATTCAAATGAAAGCTCGAAAATAGGGGGACATAAAGTACGGGAATCAATGTCTACTAGTTCTTCAGTAAATATATATATATATATATATATAGTGATGCTCTTCATATTAGTTCCATCACTTATATTACCACACCACTTGCCCGATTATATCGAGTAAGCAGTTTGTTCAAAATTAGTGTTGATTCTGTGTAAAACTTTTAGATTTCAGTATGAACTCAATATACTGATGTTTATTGTATCCAAAATATAAGAAATCACTTTTTTGTCTAGTTTGTTATTACGGGACATCCATGTTTAAAGTCAAATAAGTATGTCTTTTCTCGAATCGTTGTCTTGATGTGATTATATTGAAAAGATTTAAACGAACACTGTTCTTATTGATGTTTGAGTTTCCTTTTTGAAAATCGGTGATCCCCATTATCTTATCACTTTTTCACAGGTTTAGTATCCTATAATAGCGAAAGTGAGTCAGAATCTGAGCAAAGCGTGTCGGAATGTAAACTACCCACAAATGATATATCAGGTATACTACCAGGTGATGTTCCTGATGATGTAAAACATGATTGTACATCACAGAATAATCCTAAGAATGAAAGTAAGTTTATATAATTAACCAGGTGACTATTTTTGTAATCGTCCGGGAATTTGAGAAACTCTTGATGACAAACGTTGATTCGTTGGACCATGGATGTAACTGCTGTTTTTTATCATCTTTCCTACTCTTTATATCTTTAACTCTTAAATGATATTATGAATCGTGATGTGCTTGTCTGTCGAATCTGTTATTTTATTTCTTGGTTACATAACATCCTCAAGTGCGTGTCTGTTTCCAGTATCTTGATAATCAGTGAGAAGTTTGAAAAACAGTGTCTCTTGATTCAGTCCTTTTCATCCGCGAAATCATGGCTGTTTGGTGTAAAGAGTTTTTATCTCAAAGCGAAACAATGCTTTAGTCTATTTTTCTTTTACAAAATTTCACTTAGCACAGGTTTGTTATGGTTCTGTTTTTGCGAATACTCCAAATTCTGTTACCTTAAACTGCAATCTTTTGAAGCTAATAGTATATACTATCAAATAGCAGTCACTAATCCTGAAGCGACTTGTGTAAAGTAATTGTATATTCAATATTGTCAAAATGCAATACCATGGTCACTATACGAATTGGACAGTAACTAAGATAAGCATTACTTTTTCTCTGAGTATAAATATTGTCAAGTAGTTGCTTCAGTGAAATATGTATTTGATAGAAATTTGTGACCAAGAAGGGTTCCATTATTATCTATCCGTGTCAAATAACTTTTTCGCTGATTGTCAATCTGTAGACAATCAATCAACAACACGGTGAGCCACACGGCGGATGGTAGGCTTCGTGATGCCATAGATGTTATCACATTGAACCTTGCAATGTCTCTTGACTCGCCCTTTATCAAAACCTTAACCACCTTTTCATCGACCCCCCCCCAACGCGATATATTACACAGTGCCGACCGTAGCTGATACCTTGACGTGATGGTCACGCTTACCTATTGTCATGACCCAACCGAGCTATATTGACTCGAACATATATTCCTGCAGGTTCTACCATGCCAGGCAAGTCGATCGGAAAACGGTGAGACTGGAAGCAGCAACTTAAGGTCTAAGGGTGAAGTTGTACTGTTGACTGTAGAGTGGTGTGACAGCAGTAAGGTGTTTCCCTCGGACAACAAGCGTCTGCAGCGATGCTGCCTTCTAAAAAGGAAGGGGTAGAAAAGGTCGAACCTAAAAATGTCACACCTCACCTTACCTCACGAATTTCCGTCTCCGGCGGTAAGGCCTTTTAAACAAGAACGGAACTAACACTAACATGAAAAGGCCGCGCTTGACCGGTCTCAAGCCTTTGTCTCTCGATCTTTGCGCTCACGCTACCAGATCTCTAAGACCAACGTTAATCCGGCCTTCCTTCTTAGGTTCCTCGAGAAATGCCCTTCCAGTTGTGGCAACCGGCAAGTGACATCCGCCCGCATAGTTGTTACAGCACAAAACAATATTGATCACAATCACATTCATCCTACATCCCCTAGCATTTGTCTTATCTCCACGTCTAATCTATCTCAAATTTCTTTATCATCTCGCACCGCTGAAGCAAACGATTTGAGCTCACAAAACGTTATTCCTGGTCTCCTGAAACCTCGTCCCGAACTACATGTTTGACCTTTTAATATTCGAACCTTGTGTCAATCAGGACATGTTTCATTAGGCAGGACTCTGAAATCCGGTGCCATCGATGTGTGTCGCGTCTGTGGAACGCGCATTCAAGACTCGAGTAAAATCGTCTATTTGGTTACGCCTTGTTCAAATAGAGAATCAGCTCTGTTAACCTTTTGATTTCACTGTGCAGCAGTTCGCTATGTCGTACTTTATGGAAGTGAAACATGTCCTGTAAGGTTAAAATCTATTCATAGGTTATTTGTATTCGATTATAGATGTCTTCGAAACATAACTCGTGTACCTTGGAACAAGCGAGTAAGTGTTACGAATGCACGCAATTGATATGCTTGAACTAATACGAGTTTACCTTAGTCGGTGAAGAAAAGCGAGAATCGATGGTCCGGCGACGCCACTGGCTCCTCTAATCCGGACATCCTTAAAGCCCCAATTATTATTATTATTAGAAGAAGCCTTGATATGAAGTAGGACGTGTATTTTAGAAGCACCTATAGAATATAACAATCTCAAGCACGCAAATCGCGTTTATTTATACATCCTAGAAACGTCCTTGAAGGAGCCACAAATATAGCTTACTAAAAACACATCAACCAACTACAGCCAATGATTTTTCTGGTTGAAAATGTAATCCCAAGGTAAACTGATCAGCTGATGATTAAAATCCAAAATTACGACCTTTATCAAGTGAGTGTTGGGGATCTAACATCCTCAACAGTCAGTAATACTGTCGTTAGGAAATGAGAATTAGGTATGGATGGCAGATCAGTAGATGAAGTAGTGAAACCTCATCAGTTGAGCTAGATGGTGTGAACTTGTGTAACGTATGCCTAACAACCCACTACTACGACGAGCGATGTTGTCTGATGAAGGTTGAGGGTGGCCAGAGCAATACATGGCACAAATCCATGAATTCACCGACAAGTGGACTGAGCCATGTTGATATTTGTATATTATATGGTTGGGGTTCGCGAGAAAATAGTGAGCGATGGTTAGAGACTCAATGGCATGGGTGCATTTATTCTGTCGTCTCTCAAATTCTCATCTTCTGGATTCTTCATAAGTTTCTTTGTTTTCTTTAATTTATTTCACTGAATTATACATCTAGAATCATATCTTCGATCCTTAAACTCTCCTATCACTGCTTATACTTCTACTGTCTCTGTCACTGGCATTTTAAGTGGCTAATGTATTATGGCAATTTGAACTGATGTGTTTTCGTTCAAAGTTCTACGTTGCAGCTACCTGATTGGGATTCTCAGTTACCTCTTTGTTTGCTGTATATTATGTGATCAGTCCTCAACAATTCTTCATAATTTTTATTCCAAATAACTTTTAGCCGTACTGTGTATCTGATATTCTGTATGAAAACGTAATGTTTGTTATGGGATCTTTCGTATTTTGAAGGTGTTGTGTTCTCTTAGCCGGGTGGTTCAGTCGTAATCCATTGTTTACGTGGCTCTTGTATTTCAAGACGAGGTGAATTATTAAAGTTTCTCCACAATCTACCGAATCTTTATCCCCTTGATCCTAAATTCTATTGATTTTTATTCGTAGCTATGTTATTTTGAATAGCTCAAGTTACATTTCAGCATTTTAATTTCTCAACAAATGTTGCTCTTGTAATTATTAGCGTTGAACCTAGCTACTTCAATTTGTATGTTTCCTGGTAGATATTCGTGGTCAATTGTAATACATCACTTCCCCAAGAATTCCTCTTTCCTTCCGTTGAACGTAACCTGAAATTCAACTATGAGTTTTCCATTTATATTCACTGATAAATTAAAAACAAGAAAAATGAAAATTCATGTTCACTGTATTTGCAGTCAATATCTATTGATTCTTCGTTTTTCGAAGTTCCTATAATTTGTTTTACCTTACAGATAATAAAATTTTCACCAGCAAAGACGAATTCCAAGTTGTACAAGAAAAGTATCATGAAAAGGATTCTCGTTTTTCGAGCATTCATCAAAAATCTTCGGAACGTTATAAAAATAATAAGGAAAAAGATATTAACGTCACACTTTCACGGTCGCATACCAAACATTCACATAAAAGAAAAACACCTTCACGACATTCTCATCGTGGTCATAAAAGAAATTTCCGTGATTCGTCAACAGATTCTCTAGAATCTTCAAGTTCCAACCGTGCAAATCACAAAGTAGGATCCTCCCGTTTCAGTCGATCCTCAGTGGACCACAGTGGTAATGTTCGGTCACCAAAACCTTATTTTATGAAGTCGAATCATTCAAAACATTCACATCATAAAAGTCATCATTAGATTTCTACGTTTTTCTGTACTAGGTGTTGAGCTGTCTTCTGTTTGCACTTATAATACTTAGTTCACAAGTGAGATTTCAGACAGGTAATTTATCATTTGGTAAGTGAATTTTATGACTTTTTGTTAATCAAACTTATTTTCTGTTGATTCACTTGATTATAGTAACATGGTATTTTACTGATCTTGCTTGGGCGATACCACGTTACTTCAGTAACTAAGATGCTACGAACATGAATTTAATATATCAGTTCTTAGTACATTTTTAAAAAGTTAGTTTGCGCACTTCATTGCAATTCGGCACACAATAATCACTCATGGGAATAATGTTTGTTACTTGGTTCCGATGCAGTGCTTAAGTTCCGAACGCGACTAAATTTTCATTTTACTACAGATCTTGTACACCATGCTGTTTTATTTAATTTTCATATTTTCTAGCATCTATCCTTAACAATAATATTTTCAACACTTCTTTGTAAACCAATGATCTCCCGATGTTAAATGATTTCGTCACTAAAACTAAACAACGTAATTGTCATGGAGTAAAAGTTTTCAGATAAAATCCTTCAAATACAGTTACTCTTACGCTTATCCGTCACTTCCTATCATTATTCTGTTCAACCTACAAAACGCTTTAAGTGATTTTAAATATAGAGTAGCTGTTTTGGGATTTGTTTATTTCAGTCTTCTTTCAGTCACTTAATTTGCATTCCCGCCTTATCGCCAAATTTGTCTTTGCTTTTCAGGTATGGAAATATTCGGTTTTCCAACAATACAACTGTTAATATAATCATAATTTTTTTACGTTAAAATACTTGTACAAAGTACTGATCAATTATCTACTTAAAAATGATCTTTTGTCAGTTTTCATCTTATTTTTAGTTCTACTGATTAAGCTAGAACATTCGTAACATATATATTTAATGATATCGCTACTTGCATACTAGCCAGCTACGAAGTCGACTCATCGGTTACTCATATACATTGTTAGCGAAGCGTAATCTTACGTTACATTTACCATACATTAATTCCAGTCTAGAATTAGACTGACTAAATGCTTGAAATTCTACGTCAGCTCCTTATCTGTTCATATTTGAAGTATACATATACTTGTTTTGTTTCCCGTAGGCTTTTTTACAGCCGAGTACTTCTTTGACTTTTCAAATGACTAGAAAGATAAGAACAGACGAAACATTTACTTTATATGCTAATATAAGTCGCAAAAACTTGCACAAGTTCATGCAAACTGAATTTCACTAACTTATGAAGATGTCATAAGGACAGTTTCAATCAGTTAATCAGTCAATGAACGTAAAACTTCGCACGTATGTACATCAGTCCAAGTTGACATACCACATTGACACGGAGATGTAATTGTCAATTAAAATCCCATTGTAGTAGAGGCAGTCAAGAGGTTAGGATAAGAAGATATTATTCAGGACGTAGAATCTAGTGAAATAAACTTAGAAAGAAGGTTAGGATTTGAGAAGACACAAAGAATGAATGCACCTGCGCCATTGCGGACGGTTTTGAGCATATTCTAGGATGTCTACAACTAAGTTAAACAAGAGTGGACATCCCTGACAGACACCACTTGAAGTCACCAATTCCGAAGATAAGTCACCATTAACTGTAACTCAACCAATAGTGTTCGAGTAGAGAGCTTGTATAAGGTTAATGTACTTCTTTGGTACTCCTTTCATCATCTCCTTACTGTCATATAATCTTAGGATCAATAGGGTCAAACGCCGCCTGAAGGTTGGGAAATACTACTGTTGTGGTACGTCTGGGCGTGTTTATGTTCCAGCACCTGTCGTAGAGTGAAGGGATACGTGGTCTACATACCCACGTCCGGGTTTCAAACCATCCTAGTTTTCTCTTCACGAGCTCTAGTTAGGCGTTGAAGTATGATAGGTGCTAGCATTTTTGACAGTATATTATTATTATTGCTATTTATATTGATCCCTGTGTGGTTGTCACAGGGCTTCTGTCCTTTCTTAGACTGGGACTATCAATGAGTGAGACTGATCGGATGGGATTATACCCAGTCCCCAGATGCTACCTAAGATCTCAGCCAATCTGGCGGCTAACACTGGACCACCATCCTTAAAAACCACAGGGGTAAGCCTGTCAGGCACTGCAGCTCTCCCTCACTTCAGATTTCCTATAGCTTTTACAACTTCATTCAAAGTCGGAAGGCATATACATCCACTTGTCGTTCAGGTTGACTGGAGATCGTGAGCAAACGAAGTGTGACTGAAGGCCAGTTGAAATGATCGTTGAAGTGCTGATACTTCCATCGATCTATTCTCCTTGTTTGACAGTGAATGACAGTCCTATTATTTCCCGATATATTTTCGCTAACAGGTGGATTGCTTGTACCGGTTTTCTTGGCAATTCGAATCAGTTGTCTACTGTTACCTATCGCCGATGTCTTTCCCATCGCATTTGCTTTCGCCACCCACCGCTGCTCACAATTATTGCGTAAAATTCTAATCAGCTTCCGCTTTAGCTTGCTGCGCTCTTCACTATGTTCAAAGCCAGATCGCATGGTCGCCAGGTCGAAAGATGTTTTTCCTCATACTTAAAGATAGTGTCTGCTATAATAGGCCGTTATCTAAGCATAAATGCAGCAGACGGTTTACACCCGTTACACCGATTTTATCGCACTCCAGTTCAGTGCAAAAGTCGAAGAGGAATCCCACATACCTCGTTGGCACTGTGGTGCATGGCACTATATATGAAACAGTCTAATTAGGCAGCATCAATACATAAAGTGTAGGGTCATCGGTCATAAATATGGCTTTTGCCTAAAGAGAGAGCCAAACCGATCCAGAAGTTCTATGAAGACTGTTCCTAAATCCGGTACCAATGCATTTAGCCTGATATCTTCCCGTTAAGACTCGTCACCAGGTGAGAGAAAATTCATTACTACTAATGTTGACGGACATTTGTGTAGACTGCAAACAGACCTTAAGGCGGCATTTGACTCTGTGGATCGTGAGGTTCTGTGGCAGTGTCTGTCATTGAAAAGTGTACCAAAGAAGTACATTAACCTCATACAAGCTCTCTACTCAAACACCACTGGTCGAGTGAGAGCTTATGGCGAACTGTCACCGGAATTCTCTACATCAAGTGGTGTCCGTCAGGGATGTCCACTTTCTCCATTCTTGTTTAATTTTATCATAGACTTGCTCCTAGAAATAACCTTATCCTCGTCTCATTTTTCAGGAGTAGACCTTTTACCAGGTGGCTCGCTTATTGACTTAGAATATGCCGATGACATAGTCCTACTTGGTGAAGATGCTGACAAAATGCAGTCTTCTGACTACCCAAAGCAATAATGCAAGCATGTTCGGGATGCGGTTTCCCCCTTCGAAATGCAAAATGTTGCTTCAAGATTGGGTTGCATCGGCACCTGAACTAGTGATAGGGAGTGAAGTAGTCAAGCGTGTAGACCGCTTCACGTATCTTGGGAGTCTCGCCAGTGCCGATGGTCTGGTGACTGACGAAATCTCAGCACGCATACAGAAGGCTCGATTGGCTTTTGCCAACCTGCGTCACTTATGGCGTAGGCGTGATATCCGTTCTCTGATCAAAAGACGAGTGTACTGTGTAGCAGTTCGCTCCGTTCTCCTATATGGCTGTGAAACATGGCCAGTTAGAGTAGAAGATATTTTTAGGTTACTTGTTTTCGACCATAGGTGTCTTCGAAGCATTGCTCGTATACCGTGGGACAACCAATTAAGCAATGCTGTCGTTAGGAAACAAGTACTAGGCAAGGATGGCAGATCAATCGATGAAGTGGTGAAACTTCATCATTTGAGGTGGTTGGGACATGTGCTGCGTATGCCCAACCACCGACTGCCTCGACGAACTTCGTTTTGTAGTGTAGGAGTAGGTTAGAAGAAAGTTCGGGGCGGCCAAACCAAAACACGGCAGAAATCCATGAAGTAATTGACGAGTGGACTTAGCCATGTCGGTAATTGTCGACTACCTGGTTGGGGTCCGCGAGATGATAATAATCGATGGTTAGAGACCTTGAATGACATGGCTCAAAACCGTTTGCAATGGCGCAGGTGCATTTATTATGTGTTCTCTCAAATCCTAATCTTCTGTATTCTTCAACACCTCTAGTTGCGACTCTAAACTTTTCTCACTGAATCATACTTCTTGAATAGTATCTTCTAACCCTAACCTCTCCGATTACTTCTAATTCCTTTACTACCTCTACTGCTATTGGATTTGATTTGACATTTGCGTCTCTGTGCTGATGTGGTATGGCAACATGAACTGATGTACTTACGTACGAAGTTCTACGTTGCATCTGACTAACTGACTGCAAACAGATACCGCATCTGATGTCATCATCCTCTCACGCAAAAATTGGACCAAATCGGGCAGCCAAAGCTTGCAGCACACAACACAGAAGCCTCGCACAGCATGTGGTAAATACTGGGGTATGTTATATAACGCCAGCTGATCTAAATTTACTTGGTTTAGATTGGTTTGACCAGCTAAAATTAGCTGATGTCCCGGTAAATACCTGGTATCACAACCCCTGAATCATATACGAAGAATCTAATGACGGGAGTGTCAACAATTTCCCAACCTGGATTAGGTCGGTGCACTGCCATGAAAGCAACACTTCGGTTGAAACCTGGGGCTAAGCCTGCTTTCCGTCCAAAGAGAGCAGTACCTTACGCAACATTAGCAACAGTAGATAAAGGGTTGGGTCGCCTTCAACAACAATGAGTTATTACTCCCGTTTCTTTTTCTGTTTGGACAGCACCTATAGTTATCGAGAAGGCCAACGGCACGATTATTATATGTGCTGCCTTCCTTACAGGTCTCAATGCAGCTCTGCAAAAGCATCATTATCCTCTGCCCGTCCCCGCAGGTCCGTTTACTATGCTGAATAGGGGAGATTTTTTCGTAAAGCTCGATCTAGCTGATGCTCATTTGCACGTGGAAGTAGATGAAGCATCAAAAGAGCTGCTTGCTATCAATACCGATCGTGGTTTGTTCCAGTACAACCGTCTGCCTTTTGGAGTAATGTCTGCCCCATCTATCATCCGGCAACTGATGGATACTATCCTATCAGACATCTCAGGGGTTGCAGCTTATCTAGATGATATCTTATTTGTTGCGAAGAAATTAGAACAGCTACAGGAACGCACAACATTGGTACTACAACGCATCAGTGACAACGGGTTCTGGTTACATCCATAGAGATTTCAGTTTTTATCGCAGTCGGTAAATTATTTGGGACTCATCTTTGATGCCGACGGTCGCAGACCGGATAGCGAATCCGAGCTTTCAGACTGATGCCCACTCCCACTGTCTTCAAATTACTATCTTTTCTCGAATTAATGAGTTACTACTCAGCGTTTGTCCCCTCGGTGCATGATATCCGTGACTCGTCTTTGTTGCTCTTTCTCATCACATTTCGATCCCCGATATTAGTCTGGATGTTTGCCGAAGACTTAGTTATTTTCCCAGTAGCCTGTAAATTTATTTTTCGAAGGATACCACGCAGATCTGAGCACGCTTACCTTCTCAGGTCTTGTTATAGAAAGGTTTGGCCCCATCTCGAACCTTTCTGCAGTAACAGCAGCAGGTAGTAGCGCGGCCGTCGTAACTCGCGCCAATTATTTGCATTTAACATTGCAGAGTCTGGAGATTTATCAATAATTTTATGTGAAAAATTTTAGACATTTATGTGAAGTAGATGTATCTAATGAAATATTTCAGTAACCGAACAACGTTTTACAAAATATGGTTAGCAGTCTAAACATTTTTATGCTACCTGTAAATTGGCATGCCTCCTGTAACATGTTAATATTAATGTTTATATTTATTCT